CCCCAAAACCCCAAAACCCCAAAACCCCAAAACCCCATGTCACCTAAAAAGTATTGAAAATCCATTATCTTCAACATCTCTTCTACTTTTCAACCTTCAAAACACTTGGAATCACCTTGCCGTAAAAACCGATATTGCCAATGTCAATATTTGGGTCTGGCTTAGAATTGACGGCTGCATCTAGCGCTATAGAGAGGATAAGGGGAAAGGTGGATGAAGGATTTTGGGCGACTCGCTTGAATGTAGGGAAGTTTAGAGGGAAAGAAAGGGAGGATTGCGGCAAGCAGAGGGTTAAGAGAGAGAATTGGATTGAGAGAGGTTTGAGGGGTTGGGAGAATAGAAGGAGAAGGAGAGAGGTTAGGTTGATGAAATTAATTGCCGGAGCTATGGGGATAATGGATAAAGTATGGATGAAAGGAAAATGTATGAGCTTAGTTGAATTAGAAATAATTTTTACCGATGATGGTTGCAAATCTTCCTGTAATCATTTGATTGAACTTAAAAATATACTCCTCATCTTTTGTCATAAGCATATTAATCAGAGATACGTCTAAATCATATGCTATGGCTGCAAGTCTAAGTCTGTAATAGTCCATTCTAGAGCTTAGGCAACAATTACTGATCCTTCATTTCATCATAAAGCTCAGTGATCTTTTCAATATCTTTATGATCAATCCCGAGTTCTTCTAAGTTGAACTTCTGTTCTTCATTGACTAAAGTTAAGATTCATGAATACTATGTTTAGGATCAAATTTTTTAGAATAAAACTTTTGGTCAAATTCTATCCATTTTTTGCTTTTGTTCGATAGTTTTGGAATAAGTCTAGCTTTTGATATATTATCAAAAAGTTGAATAAAGTCTCTGAATTCAGAATCCTGATCTTTTTCTTCCCCTTCTTCTTCAGAATGATATACATTTAAATCTTCTTCGGATTCGGATAAATTTTCCCTCACTTTTACATCTTGATTCTTCCAACCAGATAAATCATAAACCTTTTGGATGAGCAAAGAAAGCGGATGGTCTTCACAATTGATTGGGATATCATGCACTAAGAAGGCTATGGCTTTAACAGGGCACGAGCTATCAAAAAAAGAGGAGATCTATATTAGCTCATTATGATACTTTTAAGTTTCATAATCAAAATGTCAAACTGTTAAAATAAAAATTTGATCTTAACTAAACAATCCTTTACCTTAACTTCATTGATGCAGAACAAGTTCTGAATGATCAAATCGTCATAATAAGATGTATCTATCTCTATTATTTTAGAATCCTCCTATAAATCAGCAAAACAAATTACTCAGTTATCATAAAAATGTGGATTCTGGGCGAGAGTCTTTGGATGCCCAACGAAGGTGTAGTTATCGTAGATGTGGTTCAGATTAAATTTTTCATATTTATAATCTTCAAGTCTTCTGTTTTCTTCATCATCATCAAAGTCTTCTTTAATATCATCATGTCCATCTTTATCTGAACCAGACTACAGTTTTATTAGGTAAATTACAGCATAGTTTGCAATTGAAAAACCGCTTTATTGTCTTCATATAAAGGTATAGCAGTAGCACAGCAAATTCCATTTGGGAAATATAGTTGCTCTCCTGAATTATAAGCCTCCTTAAATCAATCTAGAAATAAATCCTTAATTTACATTTCTCATTTTCAAAAATACACTTAACATTCCTAATCCCCTCATCTTGCCCTCCTGTTGTTCTCTTGCACACACAACAAAGAAGTTCCCCCTTCCTATAAAACATCACCTCACCCTCCTACCCTTCCTTCACATCAGCAACCTGCCCAGTCATGATCTCTATCACTCTTCCTACACACTCACAAAAAGCCAAACTAAAAACCTTACCTACTGAGAAACCCTGGCTGCTAAAATTCCTAAATTTATGAACGAGGATTACTCAGATTCTGAAGGAAGGCAAGTGCCTTCGTAGAATTTTAAGAATTTGAGTGGGCCTAGAGGTCAGGAGAAGGGCTTACTGGTTGGGGCAGAGGGAGTGGAGGTGCTCTTTTGGAGAATGGAGGTTTGGTAAGATAGTTCAGAGGTATAGTCCATTGTTAGAGTCAAAAGATGAGGGATCATTCTTCTGATGAGTTCTGGGTTTTCGCTAGAAAGAAGTTAGAGAAGTGTATTTCTGATGAAATTCGAATCTAAAGCTAGTACATTTAAGGACTTTTTGGAAATCATTTTAGGTTTCTTACATAATATTGTGGTAGAATTGCTTATTGACTAAGTGCAGCTTGCTCCTATAAGTAATGCTTGAAAACCTACTGTTTGATATCTTGAAACTCAAGAAATAGCAATATTTCTCTCAGCACTATGTTATGAATCTTCATTTTTGAAATATTAATAATATATTCTCGATCAAAAATTATTTATTTTATAGGGGTTTTGGGGTTTTGGGGTTTTGGGGTTTTGGGG